TCCACTTCATGGCTGTCATGAAGGGGTTGTTAAAAGTTTCAATGGCGGAAGATAGGAAACAAATTGCAATATGGTCATAATTGTATTGGAACTGCAATAGTTGGAGCAAAATTTGAGAGAACTTGATTGATTGATTGACTTTGATTGAGTTTATTGCAGACATGGTTCAATTAAATTTTCGTCATATATATGTATACACATGCAGCAACTTTTATTTTTGTAAAGTCGCATAACTGTCAAGTTAGAAATGACTCAAACGTGACCTTTCCAAGCCATACTTCTTTTGGGTAGAACTTTGCTTAGTTTTGTGCAATTGTTGATCTTAGAAGTTATGAAAATATGCAACTAAAGTATGGCTTATCTTTCCACTTCTGTGTGGCGTTTTTTATCGACTAGATCCATTTTTGATCTCTTATATTTATAATGTTTGCCATAATTGTACATCATTACCTGCAGCTGTATATATTAATAAGTATTAAGAATAGATCCAGTGTTGATTTCTAATAGATTTTAAAGAAATCAAATTATTGCAAACCAAATGAAACAATTCCACAGAGTCATCTTCTCTTGGTCAAAGTATTTAAATTTTTGTCTGTTCTATTGTCCCATTGAATAAATACAATAGCTATTGTTCTCTGTGTAGTTTATTCACTGGTACCTCTAAATTTCTTCTAAACTATGTCTAAACTACCCCGACAAAAATGTTTGGACTCAATAGTAACTAATATCCTATACGGTGACGGACCATCAACAGACAGAGAAAAGGTAGGATTTCTGTTTATTTATTTCTTGTTTTATGATATTGAAGAATATACATACACATATAACTATTTTCGATTGTGAGACGTAATATTTTCTACAACTGTTCTAGATTAATGGAAAAATAAGTAAAAAGGCACACGAAAATGGTGAATTGAGTGAACCTTGTCTCGAATTTGTTCAATTTCTCTTTAAATTGTGCACATTGTACGGAAAGAAAGGTACGAAAAGAAAGATATTAACACGGGGATTGCAAGACTAGTCATTATGAGCACCTCAATATTTGTATTTCTGTGCATGGAACAAAAGAAATGGGTCATGTCAACATGGAAGGACCCGGTTTTGTCAATGTTGTTTACTACATAAGGACCCGGTTTTGTCTCAGTATAGGACCCGGTTTTGCTTTGTTTTGAAACCACAAATTTATGAAAAGCAACGTTAACACGGATCTGAACATTAGCTGTCGAAAGAAATTCAATATATGAGTCATATTGATTTAATTGTAATACAAACCCGTCGTGTTAAAATTTATTCTAAACGGGAACTTTTCGAAATAGAGGCATCTTTCTAATGCTATACGTTTACATTATTGCACTTATCTTCGAACTAAGTTCAAATGGAAATAAATACTTTATAGCATGCACTTACATTAATTCCTTATGGTATTTGTTTGTTTTCTATACTAGTATGAAATAATGTAAAAATAGGAAGATGCAGTATGATTGTGTTACCATATCAATTTATCAAAAGAGTAAAGTTAGTATGCAGTTTACAATATATTTACTATCATTTACTCATTCATTCATTCATTGACGGACAGTCAGAAAAAGATTTTGGTCTATAGTATTCTGCACGAATGAATCATGCATGCAACCCCGTTAATTTTCTGGTACTGTGTTACTCGTACTACTGCGTTTTTTAACACTTGAGCACGCACATATAGCTGTGGAATTTTCAACTTTCCCTCTATTTTCAGGTACTAAAAAAAACAATTTGATTTTTGTAGGCCTTTTAAAGCATGTTTATCAAATTCACAGTTCAAATTCAACTTCAACTTCGAAGTACACAAGTTCTAAACTTTCCTATTAGAATCGAAATAATTCTATCATGCCTTGCTCTATATATGCTCATTTTAAAATGAGTAGGCATTATATTTGTCAACATTTCATACCTCGCTAACGCTTGGTCTAAAGATATTAACAAATATAATGCCTACCCATGTTAAAATGAGCATAGAACATGACAATGAAGGAATTATTTCTTAAATAAAAGTTGGTTTGCAACATAATAACGTCCCAATAACTACGTTCTTATTAAGAACAACCTAAGTGGCCATTTAGCCAATAAGACAACTTTCCATCAGAGACCAAATGACGTAAAAGTAAGCAAATATAGGTCACCGTATGGCATTCAACAATGAGAAATAACCATACGGCATAGCAAGCTATAAAAGGTCCCGAAATGAAAATGTAAAGATTCAAACGAGAAAACTGACGACCTGGTTTATATACAAAAAAAAAACCGAAAAACAAATGATATCAAGCTACTAAAGACAACCACTGAATGGCAGGCTCCAGGATTAGGTACTAGCATATACAGAATGGCGGGGTTGTAAGTGTTAGCGTGTAACCGTTTATAATTTATAAAATTATCAATAAAATAACCATTTTTTCAATTTCTGGATGGACTTAGACTATTAAACTAATTCATACTTAGTATTATAGTTACAAGGAGGGGTAAAAAGATTTTAAACATATTATTATTGTGATCCTTTGTGCCGCGTGGAAATTCATTTTCTAAGTGCGCTTTTGCATGCATATACATTTTTCCTTTTCTCTTGCTTTATAATAAACATTTAGTGTTCAGAATATTTATTTTCAAACGATCATACTGCCCGCCCTCTCTCGGTAGGTAGAGTGGAATATTGATCATGATAACCATCCTGTTGTCCCAGAAAAAACATATATCAAATGTACGTCCTTCAATTTTCAAGGCCGTACACTATCAAAGTTTGAATTGCGTAACAAAAACTTTGTTTCTATGTATTTCCCCGTTTATTTATAGCAAAATTAAAAATAATTTTTGTTCCAATAAAGCAGGACTTCAAGTGTTTACGGATTCAGATAGATAATAAGTTATCTTCTGAAAGAAATTGTTTTCCAACGAGCCCTTAAACTCCTGTTGAACACCATATTTTCAATTTACGTCATGCCATTATGCATTATTTTCTATGACAAAACCGGGTCTGCTTTGTAAAATTTTAGGACAAAACCGGGTCGTACACATTGACAAAGCCGGGTCCTCCGGGTCCTTCAATTTTGACATGACCCATTTCTTTCGTTCCATGTAAAGAAATACTGATATTGAATTGCTCATAGTGAATAGTCTTGCAATCTCCATGTTAATATCTTTCTTTCCGTACAATGTGCACAATTTAAAGAGAAATTGAACAAATTCGAGGCAAGGTTCACTCAATTCACCATTTTGGTGTGCCTATTTCCTTATTTCTACCTTAATCTAGAACGGTTGTAGAAAATATTACATCTCACAATCGAAAATAGTTATATGTGTATGTATATTCTTCAATATCATTAAAACAACAAACAAATAAACAGAAATCATACCTTTTCTCTGTCTGTTGATGGTCCGTCACCGTACCGGATATTACATACTATTGAGTCCAAACATTTTTTGCCGGGGTAGTTTACACACAGTGTTCTTGGGGAAATCTATCATTCATTGATTAATTTACATGACCAAAAAATTATCTTTTTAGTTCATTGAAACACATGTATAAACTCACAAAACTGCATGTGATGTTGTATTTATTCATTATCAATAATATATTTTCAATTTGTTCAATATATACACTGATTTAATTATAAAAAGTTTATTTCTGACAAAATATTGTGTACTGTTCCAATGAATTTGCATATTTTTTGTGGTTGTTCAAGTTAAAGAATACATTTATGAAGGCATTAATTTAAACATCATCATTTTCAAGTTTTTATTTGCCAAAAACACAAAAAAAAGCAAATTTTAATAGGTAGAATATTGAAAATTTTATCAGAAATCAAATTTCAATTTATGAATCAGTGTTTGTATTGAACAAATTGAAAATGTATTATTGATATTGAATAAAAACAACATCACATGCAGTTTTGTAAGTCCTTAGTTCAGTAGCATGTGTTGACGACATCCACTGTTAACCTCGAAACATTCAACTCTGGTTCATCTGGTACATTTTAAATAGTGAGCAGGAATTCAACGACACATTAAACTGTTAAAACTTGAAAATAGGCAAGGGACTTGATAAGCAATAAATTTGAAAAGGTATCGCGCATTCTACCAACAAACATCCAATGATTTATTTGACAAATACCTTCAATGGAACAAATTTCCTGCAAAGAGGAAATTTGCCAGACTCAAGACATCTTTTAAGAAAGATGACTTGGCAGGGTAAATCTTTCAAATTATCAATTAAACTATTTAATGAGTTTTTGTATGGATATGGATGGCTTTATTTTGTCCAAAACCTCAAAAGATACCAATATGTAGTTGCGTTAATGCAGATTTTCGTAGATGGCCTTAAATAGCCCTCTGTTAAGCAAATTCAGGGAAATGTGATGTCGTCAATAACAATTAATGTCAGAAAAAAGAAAGTTCAACTGTCAATCTTGTTAAATTAAACATACCATGGCAAAATCAAACACTTCTTATGTCTGAATTTAATTTTGTGTTACAAAAGAAACATCATTAAGATACGCGAAAACATTTGTCTCATCCACTTTCTCAAATTTTCAAATTGTTTTAAAATTTTGAGAATTATGTTGAGAAATGCCATAACCGGAAGTTATGAAAATAGTTCTGTCAGCTTTATAATCCACATATTTGTTTGTACTTCTACTATTAAGCATGCATGATCTTTTTGTACCAAACATATAGTATTCGGTTTAACAATTTTAGCGTGATAATTTATTTAGCCTTTGAGTATACATGTATATCCGATTTTTGATGTTCTAGTTACAAAAGGTAAATGTATATATTTTACATTGAAGATAACGCAAGAATACATAATTATAATAGTGTATTCTATTTAACGAAACATCCTTGTTTCCATCAATGGTATTTACAAATAAAGATTTAAATAAATATAGACTTCTTTGGTTAAATCAGTTTTTCGAAATCAATATTATAATATTTTTTAAAAATACTAAATCATAAAGTTAACACGTAACCACTTAACAACACCTGAAAGTAGTTGGATACCGGAAATATTTAGTAGCTTTCAAACTTTTCTTTAAAAATAGGAAAGTAATTTAAAAGAAAAGGCAGAGGAAAACTGTTGGCATTGACTTAACTTTCCATATTGCTGTGTCATGCGATCACTGTTAGACAAATTTGGATATGCATGTTTCTGCAATTAAACGGAATGGACCGTGTTTTTATGTCAGCATGTTATTTGCGACGCAGTTATTAATCTATTGGCAAGGTATGATATAGTAAAGTAGTTTTTTATTTTCTTAAGAACTTTATCTGGTTTGTTGTGTATGCGTAGCGAACTGAGCTGGTAACATATACAACTCTAATATTTTAAAGTTAGAATGGGTATAATGCTAATGCGATTTCATAGTTTTTATAGTTTTATCAAATTTTTTTTAGAACTTTTTTGTGTATGTTTATGCCCCACCTACGATAGTAGAGGGGCATTATTTTTTTCGGTCTGTGCATCCTTCCGTTCGTCCGTCCGTCCGTCCGTCCTTCCGTTCGTCCGTCTGTCCCGCTTCAGATTAAAGTTTTTGGTCAAGGTAGTTTTTGATGAAGTAAAAGTCCAATCAACTTGAAACTTAGTACACATGTTCCCTATGATATGATCTTTCTAATATTAATGCCAGATTATAGTTTGGATCCCAATTTTTTCACAGTCCACTGAACATAGAAAATGATAGTGCGAGTGGGGCATCCGTGTACTATGGACACGTTCTTGTTTATGATGTTTTGATCACAAAACGATATATATTTTGAAATGTATTCTGTTGAAATATATAGTGTTTAACATTAATCCCTTTTTGTAATCCTTCATTTAAAATTTAAAAAAATCAATTCGCCGCCTATTTATTCACTACATGATACACGTGAGACAGTGTATACTGGTTCTTGGCAGGTTGCTCTTTGTAAATGCAGGAGATCATGGATTCTATCACCGACCGTGTCACACCAAACAAAGACTTAAAAAATATAATGCAACACATAAGACATTTCGGAGTAAGAACAAAGACGGCACAGAGTCCGAAAAATGTGTGAAGTAATGGTAACATTTCTCGCAAACTGTTACTTTGTAAACTAGCACATTAAAAATCCTGCTTAATTCAATAGTGTTGTACAAAGCATGCACATTTATAAGTTCTTGAAATGAAAATCATTCTGGTAGTTGTGAATAGACGTTGAATAGACAGTCATCATCAGAATCTTTTTACACCAACTCTAGTAAAGAAAACTTTCAAATAATTAAATCAAACTATTCTAGTAGAAAGTTATCTCATTGGCAATCATACCACAGCTTCTTATTTTTTTATATGTCGACATTTTTGGAAGAAAAACAATAGTTCAAACCTGTAACGGTTATAAACATCAGACTTTCATTTTTAATATGATATTTCTTACATTTTATCTATAATTAGCTGACGCACAAACTGCAACAATGTATCCTCCCGCACCAGCATACGTGGATATTCGGCAGCAACGCACGTTTATGTGCAAAACATCAATACAGAGCAACTGGAGAAGTACTTCGTTCTATGACGAGACAAACAGTGGTGGTGTTCCCAGTGTAGGCTTGTTTTTCAAAGATTCCGATGGTTCTTGTCGAATAAGTGCTGTTTCATATTCCAAATATAACGCATCATGTGAGTCTACGAAGGGAGAATATAATCTAACAGTTCTATCTGTTGATGAAAATCATCACAATAGGTTTATCCGTTGTAAAGCACAGTTTGGTGACGGTACCGGATCTGACGTCTATGCCAATGCCAGGACAGTCATTTACGTCAGAGGTAAATACAAATCAGTTAACATCAGTTGATTTTTGAGAATACGTCCCCTCTATGTATGGTACAATACTTGACTTTGTGTTTGTGTTGAGATTGGTATATTATATTTATCTATAAATGAATACAAGGAATAAAAGAAATAACGTTATAGTTTCATGACTTATTGCTGTGAAATATTTGTGTGTAAATGTCATTACCAAAAGTTTGTTAATAGTATGGAGTAATATAGTTTTTTTTTCAATAATTATCAAGAAGTGATTACGGAAATATATCAAAAGGTCAATAATCTCTATAAAAAGCAAGGCCAATCAATTAAATATCATAATTATACAACCAAATTTTAAACTGCATACTTATGTATTTATAAAATTAGTTTATTAATGGTATAATTATTGTTTGTTTTTTTCTCTTCCATACAATAATGAGGAAGTTTCAAGAGATTACAATTTTTTGCTGACTTCTATTACGGGTGTTTTTCTGTAATACTTTTACTACCGGAAATTTTTTTTAGTGATAAACTTATTGTTAATATCATTCTGCTTTCGATACTTAATCGACAAGGAAGAAATCTTCTCTTTTCATATGAAAATTTGGTGACACAAAATTGTGATTTATAACAAGGTATTTTCAATATCATTCCTGGTATCATCGAGGTCATCTCATATCGAAACTGAAAATGCTGTAAATGCCGATAAATGGGAAAAAACCCGATAGAACCATAATGATATATTCATCACATCTCTTTTAATGGTCTGATTTTGGGCTTTATTTTGACGCATGACGAAAACCAATGAAATTTATTTAATGTGTCGTACTTGTGGTAACTTGCATATTAACATCCAGATGCAAAACGACCGATCGGAATGGGGACGTTAAATCTAAATCTCTATAAAGGCTAAGTGCCAAGCTAGCTGCACGTTTAAGAACCTTTACAATAAAGTGATTCATAGTTGGCCTGTTTCAAGGCAAAGTGTATGCCTCGATCATGTCCTTATATATATGGGACTAACAAAATCCCTCGCCCTTCATCCCGGTCTGTATGCCCTGCAGGACCTACATTGTACCTACAGTAAATTTTTGCTCGTAAGAAATATTTGAGAATGAAAATTAAGCAAGCAACGGTCTACCAATCAATAGTTTCATGCAAAACATGACAAACAAAGTAAGGTCTTTATTGACTACCGAAAACACATTTCACCTCACATATGGAATAAAAAGTAATTGTTAGGAGTGTATATCATAAGACCATTATTGTCTCTTTGATGTTGGACCAACACTTATCTAAAGAATACAGAAGCGATATGGACCAACTCCTGTGAAAAAGGAAAACATCACTTTATAAACAAACAGATGAGTACACAGGTACGGATATTTATAATCTGACCTATTTATCAGTTAGTGAACTAAATGGCAAAGCTGACACAAAGACGGACAAACAAAAGAATGACAAAAACACGTACACATTTATATTTTACCCATTTATTTGTCAGTGATCTAGATTTACTAGATAATTTTATACAAGGTAAACAACTTTATTTTAGAAAAGTTTTCTTTTAACCTCATTATTTCGTTCGTAGTCAGTTGGGTATACAAGACATCTATATAATTTGTCTTGAAAATAATCCATCTATTTAAATAATATAGATTAAGACAACTTTTTGTTATAGAATGTCATTTGTTTTACAAATGAGCAACAAACGATTTACATGACCTCTCTGTTCGATAAAAATTAAAAAAATTTTTGTTTTATAAATTAGAAAAACGATATTTTGATTTATGAACTTTGTTTCATTTTGGCGTGATTGATTTTGATATTTTATATATATCGATGATACAAATAAAAAAAAAAATCCTAAAATCGAAGACTATATTTTACTTGAAAAGCATACATTCCTACAATTAGTATGTAAATATTTTTTCGGAACAGCATAATTAGATAAATTTGTGCTATCATATGATCAGTGATTAGTCATGGTTAAAGAATCAGGCAACAATGTATTTGATTAAAACCACAATATTGATTAAACTGATTTATTAATTTTCAGTACAGTTTTCGTCAAAGTGATAGAGTCGAGACTAAGGTGCTCTGTTTTCGACGGTGTCGGCATCAACAATTTGTTTAAGTTCGTGATTAAGGCAGTTTCATAGGAACTTCTAATGGTAAATTGATGTTATTTGGTATGCAGTTGTATTAACATTCGTACTACTTATTTCCGAAGAGATCATTTGGTCCCGACCCCCAAGTCATGCTTTATTGACCTTCAATCCTTTACTAAGTTTACATGTTTAAGTCTGTTATTATGCTAGTTTAAGCGTAGTAACTTGTGGTAAGTGAATTATATTTGGTTCTCATTTGTATAAGCATAAGCACCTTTCATATCCGTGGAGATTATTTGGCCCTGACCCCTAACAGTTTGTTATATGCTTGAATGATTATTTTTACATATTATCAATGAGAGTTCAAAGGCACCCTAGTTTTCATGAAACCGTTTTCAGATTTTAGATGGCCCAAAAAAAAATAGTGCTTTGAAATTTAAGTGGTTGACTGGCTGTCATGTCTTGCTGTGTATTTGCGAACTTTGATTTCGTAATATGACATTTTTTTGCAATAATATCTAAACAGAAATATTTCAAATTAAAAAAGCAGTTACAGTTCTTCTTTGCAATACATTAGTATACAGTAAAAATGGTATTTGGTTCGAGAACAATATCTTTTTTTGTTCACCAAAAACCGAAACTGTTAGCCGAGCTATCACGGTTAAACAGTTGTTAAAGAACACAGTTTATTTGAATAGAAATACAATTTGGGTATTACGTCAATAAAACAGCAACCTAATTACACAAAAAGTCATAAAGTGTCTAAAGCGTCGTCTGTAACAGACTGTTTTTAATGGTAGATAGTATTGGTGTCTATATAAAAAATGTCCGATAAATTGCTATGAATAAAACAAATTATGAACTATAAAACTCCCAACAAACCAATGATAAACACTTAGGTATCAAATACTTCGCAGTTACTGAAAGCTATATCAAAGTGATTAACATGCTGGTATTAAATCATGCTGTACTTCATTTTAAATCGGCGAGAGTACAACTTGCAGGCAAAAACAGAGAACATTTTATGTTTGCTTCATAATTACACATTGGTTAATCAATATTAACCTCTAAATAAAAACATGACGCAATGATTGAACAACAACCCGATGTTCAGTGGTTGTCGTTTGTTGATGTGGTTCATAAGTGTTTCTCGTTTCTCGTTTTTTATGTAGATTAGACCGTTGGTTTTCCTGTTTAAATGGTTTTACACTAGTCATCATTGGGGCCCTTTATAGCTTGCTGTTCGGTGTGAGCCAAGGCTCCGTGTTGAAGGCCGTAATTTGACCTATAATGGTTTACTTTTACAAATTGTAACTTGGATGGTGAGTTGTCTCATTGGCACTCATACCACATCTTCTTATATCTATCTATGACGCAATGATTGAACAACAACAGTATGATTTTAGCCTTATAAATTAGTCTATGAAGCAAAAGAAGTACAAAATGTAAATACAAAACATTTAGTCTTTTTTTTCACTTTAATAATTAAATACCTTAAAATATTTGCGTTAAATACTTCTTCGTATTTAATTTCAGCACACGAAATCATATTTCTATACGATTCTCTATATTAGAGATATAATAACTCTCAATGCAATATCAAACCAACCGAGAAAAGAATTTTGCATGTTTGTATGGCTTTCTTTTTCTTTTTTCAGTTCCCATAACTGGTATACTAATCTCAAACACCAGCATAACAAGCGATGTGACACGTGACATAACAATAGAATGTACAGTAATGAGTAGACCAGCTGCATCCATTTCCTGGATTATCATAAACTCAGAGGAAGCCATACAAAATGTATCTTTGAAATCGTCAAACACTGTTTCCAGTGGTTCATCAGGAATTACTGTAACCAGTATACTTACTTACCGGTTTAAAGCATCAGAAAATGGCGCGTTTTTATACTGTTCTGCTGATAATACCATATCTTCAAGAAATTCTTCTCGTGTTAATCTGACTATATATTGTAAGTGTTTGGATACACGAGCTGACAAATAACAGTAGCAACCCTCGACAGAGGACTGCATCTGTCCTTTAAACACATATAGAATTCGAATTACATAGTTTGATGATTTAAAAAAACAACAACATGGTAATATCACATTCTCTTTCTTTGGGCATTTATATTCCAACTGCAAGAAGTAATCTATAATTAATCAAAGTGAAGTACAAGAATAAAACCTAGGCATCGACAAATAGCATTTATTTTATGGTATTGTAATAGCGTATAACCTTTGACCAAGTTTAATTCAAAAAGGTTTTAGAAACTGCTCTTTCCTTTACATTATATACTCGGGATTATAATTGTATTCACTAGACATTCCTCTTTAATGTATTCAACAAGAGTAACATGACGGGTGTCACACGTGTAGCAGGATCTGTCTACCTTTTCGGAGCACAGAAGCTCACCCTCGGATTTAGATGCGGTTCTGGATGTTCAATCTCTAATATTCTGATTAATGTTTTGTTATTATTGTTGTCTTCTCGTTCTTTTTCTTTTTAGCCATTGTGTTGTCTCAGTATGTTCTTTTTTTTTATATAAGATCCATGCGAAGTTAATCTTCTGCTCTTTCAAAAGTTACATAAATTCCTTTATTAATTATTTTAAAAACTCTGCGTATTTAATTTATCTAAAATTAACTATCTACAACAAGATATTACAATAGTATGTTAATGAAATCATACGGGGCGAATATGTCATTAGACATCAACTTCTTTAATTATACAACATGTCACCCTGGTCTGAAATAAGAGCAATTGTGTGAATAAAAGGAGGTGGAGTACACCTCAATGACACAGTAACCTAAAGACACAAAAACAAACAAAATTATGATATAACATACGACAACTACTAACAATATTCCTGAATTATGACAGGCACATGCAAATGTGGCGGGGTCAAACTAGTTTAAAGAGAGCTCAATCTTCCCCTTTTGTAATCTCGATCAGTAAATTTACAAAAAGTAATTGCAAGATCAAACATGTAAAAGAGAACAGGAAAAACACAGTGACTTCACTCTGAAATAATTACCGTAGTATAGAGAACAAAACATAAAATAACTAACTAACTATAATCGTATTAAAGGATGCTTGCAGTCACTGATCGCTGACTCAAAGTACTTAATCTACTGATACAAATTTATGCCGTACACTTAATATCGGTTCATGTGCTTCATTAAAAATTTGATACAGCAACGTAATCAAGAGTACATGAATAGATCATCATCTTGTTATCAAATTTTTATAATTGTTAATTGTTGCCACAAAGACAAAACACTCATGATCAAATGTTTGATATGTATGCAGATATTATAAAACATATATTGTGTAAAGTCATACCCAAATAACGAAAGAAACGTTTAATTTCAAGACCCGCCGCTATACGATCCAGTTATACAACAGACACCTAACGGACCAATCAACATTAGCGAAGTAGTAGTTCTAACATGTTCTGTGTCTGGTGGTTTTCCACTTGCTGTTCCGACGTGGAACTGTTCCGGTAACGCCACTAACAACACTTCCGGGAATACTGTCTACTCCTCAATTGGTTTCATGCTTGTTTCGCAAGACAATGGTAAAACTTGTAGTTGTTCAGCTACCCACCCTGTAACGGCATACAGACCTCAGGTTCACATTATGCTTAATGTATACTGTAAGTTTTATTTTAGCTTTGTTCATGATTAAAAGTAGAAACGGTGCAATGCTTTAAAAACTAGTTAAACGTCACAGTATGTCAATATACATGTTTTTAGTGGTAAACATAATCATTGGTTGTCCTATCGAATTAATCATTTTGTTTCTTCTTTCACTGTTTTTAAATATGATTCTTATAAATATTTTTGTTTACAGAAAAAGTATTCTAAGTTATGGGCTTCTTAATGCATTCTATAATTTTCAGTTCCCCCAAAGGAATTTCCAGTTATAAGACAAATACCAGACGGCCCAGTCCTTACCGGAAGCCTTGTGTCATTAATTTGTACAGTAAATGGTGGTAATCCTTTGGCAACATTGACATGGAACTGTACTGGAATGATTAGCACAAACGCATCGCAGACAACGGCTACAAGTTCTATCGAGTTATCCGTTACTAAGATAAACCATGTCATGGTTTGTACATGTTCGGCGTCCCATAACACAGACAATTATAGCCAAACTGTTCATCAAATACTTAATATAATTTGTAAGTATACATGACATTTTTAGTGATACTATCATGTTTAAAGATATACAAAACATTTGATTTCTTTTTAAGATTCATTTTCATATAAAATTTTAAACGAGTTTTTGTGTATAGTTACATGTTGTTGAAAAACTGGATCTAATTCAAAATAATTAACATTCAAGGTTTTAAATAATCACGTACAAAAGGAACACACATTATACGTATATATGTGTGATATAATTTGGTAAAGACTTTAACTAGTAAACGAAACTACCAAAGAGATGCATTCGATATACTCATTTTTAGTGTAGCAATTGTATTTTTCTGTCTTTAAAATTTGCACTTAAGCCTAAAAGTACAAGATTGCTCGATTGATTGCTGTTGTATAACGCCAGTTTTAGCACTTTTGGCCAGTTTGTATGGTTGAGGAAGCAAGAGTTAGCTTAACTGTTAAAAAGTTTTAAAAACAATATACTGAATATTGTTCGAAGAACTTCATTGATGGAACAGAGAGTTCATAATATACAGAAAGAAAGATCAAATTACTCTCTAGCGTCGACGTTAGTTGTGCCCTTATATTCATCGGTGTAATTGACGAATTTGTTTTTTGAAAGATCGTATGCGATGAAATTCAATTAATTTCGTAGAAAAATTTCCCACATAGATCTATTTCCATTTTTATATCCGTTAAACAACATATGCTATATTTAACAAATAATTATATATTTGTATTTCTAGTTCCACCAGATGAAATTCCAAAAATACGACAAGGCATTCCTGGACCAATAGATACCGGAACATCCGTAAAACTAATTTGTTCTGTTACCGGAGGTAATCCCTTGGTTACGCTATCTTGGGACTGTCTAGGTATCAATTCAAACGCATCTACAGAAATCAAAGCTGTATTGGAAGTTGAATTCACAGTTGACAAGAACTACAATGGCAGAATCTGCAGTTGTTCAGCTACCCATCCTGTTGCAACTTACAGACCACACACAGAACATGAACTAGTTGTTTATTGTAAGCTTTCTGTAGCATAAAAGGAAAGGAATATTTCATAGAAATATAAGTGCCATATAATATCAGGCGATACATTCAAATCATTTTTTTGGCAATATTGAGACTCAAGCATGATTGTACTTTTGTTTAACCTTAGACACTATTTTTTTTCAATCTCAAGTCTAATGTAATGAAAGGTTAATTGTCAATGAATCCATTTACTAAATACCAAACTATTTCATAAAATTTTGTATTTTATTTTTTTTCCCGCGCGTAAATTTATTTTAACTTGTGTACACAGCTGTTTCCTGCACTTCGTGTTGCAAAATATTCACCGTTGACCTGTCTTATGTAACGTTATTTATATTCAGCTCCTACCAGGTCAGTATATTCATTTTGAAAATTATCCTGGACGAAATCAAATGGTATATTTCGTATGTTTGAGTCTCGGTTTTCTAATATTTAGAATACTCGCGCGATCGTCGTATGCAATATATTTTTTTAATTTTACGGTTATGTATTACGTTGAATTAACAAAGTAACACATTTTTTTTCTTAATCAGTAAGAATTACGGTCAATCATTTCATATCTGTTGTTTTTCAACCGAGCAGCATTAACATGCTTTATCGAATCTTCCGCAGTCTATTACGAAATCCTGAAATATTTAATCCTGAAACAATATGTACAATATGTAGATAGTGTAATAGTTTACAATATCAACCATTTTTGAAATTGTTCTTCTATAGTTCCACCAGGTAAACCGAACTTGATTTTGAAACATGAAATGCCTTGGTTCACCGGAAACACAACAGAAGTGCAGTGTTTATCGACAGTAGGTAATCCAGAATCAACATTTGAATGGAAAACAGACGACATGGTATTACATGTAAATGTGTCTGAGTTGACTATAGGACCGTTAACGAAACATGACAATATGAAAACTATCACATGCACGGTTTCGAATGAGTATACCAATAGTCAGTCAATGATACTTACATCAGATAGTATTCCACTAAATGTTGAATGTGAGTAAAATTTATTGGTTTTGTTTTCTATTTTTTATAATGCAAAGTGAAGAAGTGATTTACAAATTAGAGTTTTCTGATATAACGGTTCAGTGTCTGTGACCGAAACATATTTTGTTGTTTATAAACTAGCTACATATATATATGTCTTTTTATTAACAGCTGAGAGCTAACAATACTTATATGTACATGTTTTCATTAGATAGAAAATTCATCAAAGATACCAGGCTTAGAGTTTGGTAAACCAGGCGCATGTGTCGCCTTCATAAAACTCAAAAGTGGCTTTCATAACACGAACGGTGTTTTTAGTATTTTAAACACATCTCCATAATTTCCGCTTAATTCTTTCACTTGAAAACAAGCAGATTTTTTATTGATGTTGTTTTTCATTAAGACAGTATATAACAGACATGAAAGAAATATAAAAATCGTTAATATCAACAACAAAATAAGACATCCACAAAAAAAAAAACTAATACAAGATTTTAATATTCATAAAACAGATTTCCCTGACATTACCATTGACAAATCTCCAGTATATATTATGGAAGGCAACAATGCAACAATAGTATGCAATGTTAGAGGTAACCCTGTACCTAAAGTTCAGTGGTTTCAACTGGACCATAACATAACAGAACCTCAAATAAACCGATCTGTATTTCATCTGTTAAATGTTGATCGTTTATTGGATGGATTACTGTATACATGTAAGGCAATGTCCAGTTCTACCAGATTTGGTTCTCTTATATCAGAGAATACGACAAAAGCTATCGTATATTGTAAGTATATTTCGAAATTTTGCATAATACAAAAATAAAAAATATCGATTAAATACATTTTATAATAGTTATGTACAGTCTGAAAAGCAATCATACGTATATCGTCGAGTCAATGTCAGTGTTTCGGTACTGACATGATGTTTAACAACATTTTGTAAAATTCTCCGTTGATAAATTCAGATTCCTCAGACACCTGAGTTGATTTGGCTATTTTAAGGTTCCTTTTGGTCTTAACGCTCTTCACGTGGTTAGGTCTTATACATCCGGGGCTTTCAAATGTTTGGGTTTGAGCGTTCCTGATGAAGGTAAATCCAGAAAAGCGCTAAATAAATTAAAATGTAATTTTTATGCTATCCTACAATCAGATGTTTTACTTGATAAATGCAGGTTTTTTTTTAAATATGGTATATAAGTATTGCCTCCTTGTATTCTGCCTCTAATTTGGGTTTGAGCATATGGGAAAATATGCACCACAGTTCATGTTGGTGCCCTCTTAACAGTCCGCTTTCTAACAAGGATTTTAAGAAAGGTAATTTTAAACTAGGTAACTAGCATTTACGTATCAGTGTTAATTTGAAGGGTTTGACGAAGTATTGTGCAGAAAATGATAGTATATGACATGTATAAAAACTAATACGTTCTATGGAACGCCATGACTGCCTGATGTTGATAATCACCATTATATGCAGTGGTCACATTATTATATGCAGTCGTGACAGCATTATATGTAATGGTCGCAACATTATGAGAAATGCTTACAACATTAAATGCAGTGGTCATAACATTATATGCAGTCATACAGTTGTCGGATCATTAAATGCAGTACACAACATTATATGAAGTCGTGACAACGTTATATGGAGTTGTCGGAACATTATATGCAGTGGTTAAATCATTATATGTAGTGGTCACAACGTTATATATGCAGTCGTCACAACATTATATGTAGTTGTTGGACCATTATATGCAGTGATCAAAACATTTTACGTGTTTTAATAATGAAGGTGATTAGCAGTGATAGTGATGATGATGATGATGATTGATGATAGTGATGGTGGTGGTGGTGGTGGTGGTGGTTCAAATTCGGTTGATATCGTTAATTTTATCGGAAATTGCCGAATCCGGTAATAATTGAAAATGCCCCGTGAACAAAATGAAACAGTTATCAAAGTCATGTAATTTATGCAATTCAATTCAAAACTTTATCACAGAAACAATATACCTGCTATTGTCTGCAAATTGGACAGACATAATTTTATCAATTCAGGGGTACTTCATTCCGACAAAAGGACGAAACTAAGAGTTGCATGTATTAATTATAGTTTTGAGTGCATTAAGAAACACGAATCTCATACTGTAAGTAAAAATAAAGAATAACAATAATGGAACATCAAATGACAGTTTGGATACTATATGCCTCGAGTTTATTTCTTACTGAACAATGATAGTTAGGTGCTACCATGGAAGTGTTATATTGACGTCAATATAATACTTCCATGGTGCTACTTTGTAGTCGATATTCAGTTTAAATTGCATAAATACATTTTGAATAAAATAGTCAGCTGTCTATAAGACCTAACCCCCATATCTCGCTTATATATGTCATGATAGAGCAATTATTTGGCTTTGATTTTCAGAATTATTCCATTTTACATGATTAAGTATTTCACAATCATGAAAAACTCAGTTTAAAGCATTTCATTGTAGGTGTTTATCATAACTTTAAATCAGTTACGTTGTATCCAGCTTTTGCAATCTTTGTTAGCACATAAAGCAATTTGTCTTCTAAATATGTGCAGCAGCCTTAACCAAAGAGATAGATAATCATATGTGAAAGCATCGATCATATTTCACAACTTCAGATACACATCTTTTTTTGGGTTATAGTTGATGCTCATATCAAAATATAAACTTTTATTAGGAAAGTGTACCCTTTTCCAGACCCAGTTTAATATGTTTATAGATATAGGAAGAAGTGGTATGAGTGCCAATGAGACAACTCTCCATCCAAGTTACAATTTATAAAAGTAAACCATTATAGGTCAAGGTATGGCCTTCAACACGGAGCATTGGCTCACACCGAACAGCAAGCTATAAAGGGACCCAAAAAATTACTAGTGTAAAACCATTCAAACGGAAAAACCAACGGTCTAATCTATATAAAAACGAGAAACGAGAAACACGTATGAACCACATAAACAGACGACAACTACTGTAATCAGATTCCTGACTTAGGACAGGTGCAAACATTTGCAGCGGGATTAAACGTTTTAATGGTACCAAACCTTCTCCCTTTTCTGAAACAATAGTATAACATCACAACATAGAAAAACACACTATAAAATATCAATTGGAAGGCTTAACTCAATCAAAAAACGTAAATAAACATCCCAGGGATTTAGTATTTTAACGTCATGAACAGTCAAAGAAGACATGACTTGTGCAATGCCAAAAATAAATGTATCGACAGGTAGTAGGATAGTTAGGAGTGACTTCTTTATAGATAAAAATAAACGTGTGTGTGTCTCTATACATACCGTTTGAAAAGAAAATACAAATTTAGTTATGTTTTTAATTTGCTAATGACAAAATCGATATTAGTGCCAATGTAAACTATATTCAGAGATCTAATTACAACATTGGTACGATAACCCTTACTAATAAGTTTGTTTAAAGGTTCAAAGAGTTTACACGGATTACATAATGGTTTCCGTGCTTTAAGTACAATATTACCATAAAATTTAGGATGTGAAATACCATTTTTCATAAGTTTTCTACAGCCAAATTTACTAATCAAATCTTTGTATCTATGAAAGAATTTAGTAAAAGTTTTAAGTAATTTATGGTAACGAAATCCCTGACTTAATAATTTACCAGTGATGCATTGATTACGTTCGTTAAAATCTATGACATCACTACACACACGGGCACACCGAACGAGTTGGGATATATAAACACCGTATGATGGAGCCAAAGTGACATCGCCGTCTAAAAAAGGAAAATTAACAATAGGGAATGAAAAATCGTCTTTTTTGTCGTAAATTTTAGTATGGAGTTTCCCTTTAGAAATTGAATGTTTATCATCTCTTCATCATCCCTTCACCAAACGGAGTTCCGAAGTGGATATAGCGTTTACTGCGTTTGTTCTTCGGTTAAGTTTTGCGTTTAGATCTAGATCGAAAGAAACTGCGAGTTAAAGAGGATTGATTTACTATAAGCGCGCACATTTTGATAGTAACGAATGTCCATAAAAAATGGGTCAACTCGACCTACATTTTACACACATTTAAATCTTGTTAAGTTATGCATTAAAATACAGAATATAAGCAACTACAAGTCATAGAGGAATGATATCAATGGGCACATATTTGATAATAACGAAGGACCTCGAAAAAAAGTTGGTTACCTCGACCTTATTATACGCATGAATGATTCGAATTCAATTGTGTGTTAATTAAGGCCCAGATGAAAGGAACTAAGGGTAATAAAGGAATAATATGTGTTACTGCACATTTATTTGGTATTAATAAAGGTCCGAACAAAATGTGATCACCTCAACACACAGACGCTACGCTAGCTTTTAATTATATATACTCTACAACAAAAGAAAATCGCCACTAATCTTGTTTATTTTATATATTACATATATCCATTTATATACGTAAAAATTGTTTTTATTCATAAAATAGTGATTTTGCACTACAAATTGCTGTTCCATGCCTTTTTAAAACAATATTGCTTTTAGCAAAATTTTATTTCGAATAACATCGCTGACCAACATAAATTGATTTGTTTCCAAAATACAATACATAGTTTACTTCTGACATATTTCGAGTTCTTCTTGAAAAATACTGGGTCATAATATATCTAAATTGCAGTCCCGAATAATCTGAAGATGTTTATTTGGGGTGAAATGTTCAGAAATGCGCAATTATATATATAAAATTGAGAATGGAAGCTGGTAATATGTGTAAGAGACAAAACAGCCCAAGGCCACCAACGGGTCTTCAACACAGCGAGGAAACCCCGCACCCGGAGGCGGGCTTCAGCTGGCCCCCTAAACAAAAATGTGTACTAGTTCAGCGAAAATGGACGTCACACAAAACCAAAATTAAACAAACAATTTAAGACTAACAAAGGCCAGAGGCTCCTGATATTGGACATGCGCAAAAATGCGGCGGGGTTAAACATGTTTTGTGAGAGATCTCAACCCTCCCCTATACCTCTAGCCAATTTAGAATAAAAATAAACGCGAACTGTTACTGTCCATAGAATCTGCTGTCGGTGGTTAACCTGTTGTCATTCATCAATGTTCGTTTTTTATTTTGTTTTAGTTCATTCTTTGCGACGGGATGTTTTACCCTTTGTTGTTCCTTTACGTAAGTCATTATGATAAGTATAAAATGTTATAAAAAACCAATTAGTATATTTGGACAGCATTATACGAAAACAAAACGATCACTTCATAGAAAATTAAAAAAGATTAAAGTTGGAAAAAATTATCAAATCATATAAGACATCGAAAAGACAAACTCCGAGAAATAGTTTTGGTGTACAGTCAGTCATTACATCCTATTGGACGTCGATTATATATGATAGAGGGTTAAAATATTAGATTTTGATTTGAGGAACGGACGTCGATTATTAGTTTCCGGTGGACGTAAATATTAGTCTTACAAATATATGAAACATGGCACTGAATATCGTCTAGATTTGCATAAAGCTATTAGTTGTTCTATAAGAAATGAGTTCGAGGAATATAGTATACAAATGCCATTCAATGTTTCATTATTATTATTCATTATTTTAACTTATATTTGGCCATGCGTATTTCTTAAGAGAAACAAACTATAATAAGTGCATGCAACTCTTAGTTTCATTATTTCCTCGGAATGATCTACCCCTAAATGGATAAAATAATGTGTGTCCAATTTTGCAGACAATAGCAGGTGTTGGTGTTTCTCTGATCAAGTTTTCAATCGAATTGCTTTAGTTACATGACTTCAATAACTGGTTCATTTTGTTTGCGGGGCATTAAAAATTATCACCGGATTCGACAATTTATGATAAAAGTTTCGAAGTTTACTGAATTTCTACTACCACCATCACTATCATCAATGAACATCTCTATCACTGATCATCACCTTCATCAACATATTTAGTGTTCCCTGAACTGAATATAATAGTGTGACGATTATAATAATGATGTGACCACTGCATATAATATTGTAACCACTGCTTATAATGTTCCGACAACTGCATATTATAATGTTATCAATACTGTATATAATGGTGTGACCACTGCACAAAATGTTCCGACAACTGATCATGAATATAATGTTGTCACGACTGCATATAATGTTGTCACGACTACATACAATATTGTAACCACTGCATATAATGTTGTAACCACTTCATATAGTGTTGTGACCACTGCATATTATGCTGCCAAGACTGCATTTAATGCTGTGACCACTGCATACAATGATGCTAATCAATTTAAAGCAGTCACGGCGTTTTATAACGTTCGACGAGCGATGTTTTTCTTCTGCCCCTAAACTACGTACAAATAAATTGCATGTTTCTATATATATAGTTTACGAACATAGTTCATTCTTTAATGTTCCTATATATGTAACGACCTTTAACTTGAAGGTTTTAGATATTGAGATAGGAAATTGACCAGGTTCGAAAATTTTAAATGCGACTTAGACTGAACCTTATGAGAAAACCACTTACCATCAAAATATAAAAGCAATGAAAATTAAAATGTAACCATTGACCATTAAGAGAAAATAGAAATATAACATAATAAAAATTGCCTCTTCAACAATTTTGCCTCCGTAGATATATCTAGGTGCAAGTGTTATGATATACATAGCAAATATTGTGACATTTTATTCTTTAGATTCTCCGAACATAACAAACCTCGAGGTTTTAAATGGACAGACAGTATCTGAAAACGAAGCTGTTACACTACGTTGTGAAGTTGACAGCAATCCAGCACCCACTATCACGTGGCGGTTTGTGAGCAATCAGACAACTCTACAGAAACAAGATGATGTGTTTTCCAGTAAATATATCATACCAAAAATTAAGTGTTTCCATATGGGGACATATCAATGTCAGGCTGCAAACCAAATAAATGGGACAACCTCTACCGATATAAAAGATATAGCTGTATATGTTACATGTAAGTAGCTACATGTACATAACTGATGTAAGTTGCAGTACAATTTAAACCTATATTTATTTATTAAAGTGCACATATAAGGTTTATACCAATTATCCGTGCACACGAATAATTTCAATGTTTTTGTATACTTAGGAAATGTCTGTATTTATAATTGTACTTCTTAATTTTTAAATAAACCTAATAGACATTTACCGAAATAAATATGGCAGTTTATATTATATAATTTCACATAAGTATAAAATGAACATTATTGTAATTTACATATGTGTAAATGTATTAATTACATTTCATTTTAATTAGGTTCACCGCGTTTAGATACGCGGTATCAAGGTCTTCCAAAAATAGTCGCAGTGGAGGATAATGGTGACTTGAATTTAACTGTCTATCTGATAGCATACCCAACACCAACGATTCGCTGGATACATAATAATGTAATCGATTCAGTATCAACATTGGTTGGAAATGTTTATGTTTCAAACTTATATTTACCTCATCTTAAACAATCGATGTTTGGAGAATATACTGTTCATGCATATAATGACAATGGGAACTTATTTCTGCATGTGAATGTTGTGCCAAAAGGTGAAGTATAAATATCATTATGCTTGGTTAGTAATGGGGCTTATTTTTGCCTTCACAGATTGCATGTTCCAAAGATCCAAATTTATTTTTTTAATTGATATATAAATATAATATTGTAAAGGAAATTTATTTTTGAAATACACATACTTTCCTAATAAATACAAATATTGCAAGGATGAATTATAAAATTGTAATTTTTTTTAACTGTTCTTGTATATAAAACAGGAAAGCCAACTCCTCCTTCAAATGTTTTTGTTGTATGTAAAAGCACATCTGCAACAATTGTCTGGAAACCTGAATTTGATGGAGGGGACAAGCAAAAGTTTGTGGTAAAGTACTGGAAAACTTCCGAAGGAACCAACATATTATCAACAACCCCTGTCACAGATCTTGCTGGTCAATCTGTCATCAAACAACTTATGTCGGGATCCAACTACAGTTTTGTGGTTGAAGCAACGAATATCTATGGACCTTCTAATGCCACACTTATAGCTTGCAAAACTGATGTCAAAGGCAAGTACATGATTTATATCTTCCAATTGTCATAACTGCAATCCCGCCCCCTTTTCCCCGAATGTGACCTACCGAATTAGACTTATCACCTGGTTTGTACTAACATGAGCAACACGACGGGTACCACATGTGAAGCATGATCTGCTTATCCATCCGGATCACTTGAGTTCACCCCAGTTAATGGTAGGGTTCGTGTTGCTAAGTCTTTGATTTTCTATGTTGTGTTTTGTGTACTGGTATGTGTCTGTTTTTCGATTTTTTATTTGGCCATGACATTGTCCTTTTTTTCGACTTATGAGTTTGAACGTCCCTTTGGTATCCTTTGTCTCTCTTTTTAGTCACATACTTTGTAAACAGAAAAAGAGATATGGTAAAAAACTATAATGACTAAATGAGGCATCTATTCACCAAAGGGCGAAGGGCCAGGATGTAAAAAGTTCACTTTCGATAGGCAGACAAACTTTTAAGTTCATCATTTTACTGGAAAAGTAAACAAATTACATTAAAAAAGATCGTCCAATGTTACATCACATGGCCGAATATATTGCGATGTAACATATCTATAAACAACTTATTGGACCAATAATCAGTTGTATAGTATTTGCCATGACAGTTTCTGATGTTGTATTTATACCACAGTTCCCTGTGTAATTATCTCATATTTTACATTCATAACTTTTAGCTGTAAGCAATCCTGATAAATGTTTATCAAACATGTAACTTAAACACAGGTCACCGTTGTCCTAATATGTCTAATTAAATTTTTTTATCATTTATTTCATTCATTCCACTTTTTGTTTCATCATACTCATTATGACGTTTGAGACTGACGACAGTTTAAATAAACGTCACTGCACAATTTCAGATACACGTCACCACATACATGAAAGCGGCAGCTAGAATAAAAACACGATTGCACGCACGTAGGAAAATAAATTTACGCCTTATAAGTTTTTAGTTTTTCATTAAATGCTTAACCGCCTTTCTTAGTGGACGCTTGAACGCTGACACAATATTTACAGGTATGTTATTTTTGTTATTTAAAAAGTCTAATTTACAGTTTTCCGATAGAATTTTATTTAGTTTAAGTTATATTAATCAATACATAGGATGGTTTTATCGTCAAAATCTATGATATTAAGATTCGATACGGCTTTTCCACAGGAACTTGTCTCTTGAAAAAAAATGTCCTATATACCTCAATATAACACAAGGTACTTAACACGCATTTTTGAAAAAAAATGTCACCCGGTCGCAAACTTTTGTTATATTTCGATTTCTCAGTTGTCTACCCCACTAAAACTTGTTATGCCGTAAATTTAAATTGATAAATCTACACATTGGTGTATAACACGCCTACATTTGTTGTCGGAATCATTCGTACCAGGCCTCCGTAGGTATGTCAACCGTAATTATTTTTCTCATAATATCATTGAGGAACACTATTTTTGTTGTTATATACAAAACACTTTTTTTTGTATATATTCAGATATTGTAACTTTAAAAGAACAACAGAAGATGTTTTCTGATGTTACTATAGCCACAATAGGTGTTGCTGGTGTTTTATTCGTAGCCATAGTATTGATTACTGTTTTCGTCATAATACCATTCTGTGAGTACTATTAAAAACAAATTAGCCTCGTCATACTTTTTTACATTTATAATTGTAATTTTTACTCATTTAGCACATTGAACGCTTTTTTTAATACCGGTAATTGATACGTCGATGTCGTTTCCATATTGCTACCTCCACGAAGGGTGACTGGGGTATATACATATATGGTCACTAAGGTCTTCTTCAAAAAGACAGTTTAACCAAAAAAAAAAAACGTCCCATAAAAAAGCGACTGTATGGTTGTCCGGGATGTCCAAGTACTCAGCCACGCCTTGTCAGAATCGGGGGCGTTTAATCCAACTTCTCGTGTAGAGAGCACTACACTCTGCAAATTAGGAGCCCTTGCTATAACTCTTCGGGGGTTCCGTAGGTGGCCTGTTGCAAGGCAAAATATTTCCCCTTTCCAAGATACCCTTTTTTCCAGTGGCAATCCAAGTTTTCAAGACCTTTATCCCGGACGGCTTATTTAACAAAACCTTATTGACTTTAAATGTGTTCTGGACATACATGAAATATTTGGCACTAGAGGTTAAGCAAACAACACTCAATCAATCATATGTCTTCCCGCATCACATATATTGTAGGGTTATAATGATATGATTAATTATCTCTTTTCTCGTGATTACCAACATTAACTTGACAACATTTGCTAGATTTCCCGTCTATTGCGGATATAAGATTTTACGCGTTACCATTGGAAGTACTATATCAGCACGTACATACCTAATCTTGATTAGTCCTTCAGGTCGATATGGGTTTCTCCGAAAGATACAAGGGTTTACATAGAAAAATGCAATGTAATAAACTGCTAGTATTTATATTATTTACATTATGTGCAATAACTACATATCGTGTTTATATTCTTATCCGTTTTGTCATCTTGGTTATATATGGTTATATATTTGAGGTAACATTTACTGAGAAAAAAATAAAAATCTAATTAAAAATACATTATACTTTCATTTGTTTATTATCATCAGACTTGTTTTCAGGTCGCCGTAAAGACAATAGCGACAAAGACGGGTAAATATAACGTTAAACGGAGGTTTAAACTCTTCCAGGCAAAGATGACCATAGATGCACTTAATTAATTTTTTAAGGCCTTTTGGTCATAAAGCTCTTCAAGTACATCGGTTCTGATATATCTTTGTCTTTCAAATATTAGGCTTTGGGAGTTCCTGATGAAGGTAAAGCGCTTCGGACACATGAAAGGAGTTGGTTCACCAACTCATAATTTTGGCCCTAAAAATCTGAAATTTTTTCACTACGAAAATGTGTTGAAAATCTGATGAAAACATATGCAAATAAGTCCAATAGTTTTGCAGCTAGAAAAGATTTTCACCAATTAGGTCATTAGTGACGTATTTGTGACGTCATTATGTAGGTGAATTTCGTAAAATCTTGATTTTTTGCAGAATTCTGCAAAATATATGACAGTTTTCTGCAAAAATAAACAGTGGCGCCACCCTTCGCCCACAAATAATTTTGCTGAAATATTCTTCATATACCATACTCGTTACTTTTCAACAAAAAATTCAATTGGCGAGGGTGGCGCCACATATAAAATCATGAAATAAGGTTGAAAAAATTGAAAATTTCTAAGAAAATGGATGATAATGAAATCTTTTCCTAGTTTAGGCTAATATCTATACAAATATGTAGCAGATATACAACTTTTTCTTATTATACTTTCAATTATCATACATTTAGCAATATATACACATTAGATTTGCATTGATAATTAATGTTTTTAAAACAACACCTCTACACCGTTTATTAGGGTTCCTGGCTATACTCTGTCTAAAATGTAGTGTAGTTTTCATTTCTTAAACATACGTATGTTCATCCATTTGGTACAATATCTGTGCATAACGACCTTTTGATTATAAGAAAGATTGTAATGCAAACTTAAATTTGCTCAACGGAAGCACCTCGACCTTTTTTGTTCAAAACGTAAACAGGCGAAGCAACATTTAAATGAATAAAGCTTTTAATACTAGAAGGAAAAGTTCTTTTAATGGCAAAGAGTATGCTCGTTTGAAAAATGCAAATGTTGTTCCAAAAAAGATAAAAGAAGATGATTACATGTGCATATATTTAATACAGTTCACAGTTCCTGCGCCGGGAATATTTGAACCAAGGTCGGAAAGTTCCTGTACAATCTGTAATAAACAATACGTATGATTCAGTACATCTAGATCTTCAATATGAATCTCTACGTGAAGATGCTGTTGGTAACTACTTATATATTATTGTACTTTAATATATTATGAACAACATGACTTTTGATTATTAGTGAAGGTGTACTAGGGCATACGGAAACAGGCATTTTATTCTTTACTATCCCTTATTCGACCACTGCTATGTAATTTGTTAATCGAATAGTAAGCAACCACCTCAGTGTTCATCTGCTACCTTGCCTTCCTCACGTTCAGAAAATCATGATCTTTAGCTAGCTTGTTCAAATAAAAAATTTAAAAAGACACAAAAAGACAGCGTACAGGAAGTTTTATCTCGTGTTTATTCACTTAAGTTTATCCTAACATAAAATTAGATGATGTTATAATTGTATTTCTTAAAAGAAAAACGTTAAACTAACTGAGTACGTCTTATGTATAATGTGAAGCAGTGAAAAACTTACATAACTGTCCTTTCCTAGATACATGTATAGATATTTCAGTTTTACACAGGAAACTCTACACTAAACTTTACGACAAAAGGGAAGATTTTTTGTTCCCTATTGTTAATTTTCCTTTCTTGGATGGTGATGTTCCTTTGGCACCATCTTACGGTGTTTATATATCACAACTCGTAGGCTATGCCCGTGTCTACTAGAGATTTCCAATAAAATGACTTTACTCGACATAACCGACCTAACTCAACGTATTTCGTCCTATTGCATTGAAGCATGACGGAGGGGAACATACACTGCATGCACTTTTTGCTTTTTGAACACGCATTTTTTGCTGATATAGACTTAATGTAAAAATCAATCCCAACTACTTTTTTTAATCTTTAAATATTTTGTTATTAAATTTTGAACCATTTTATTGACAAAAATGATTTAATGGAATACTTAAGCTATCAACTTGTAATCAAATACACCCATCATTTCTTGTCATTTCACTTGACCCATATTTCAGTTCTTCTCGAAATGTGAATTTTAAAAACTACCAAATAAACATTTATCATGAAAATATTAAAATAATGAAATCCGAAGCGAGAAGTTTATCTCTTTTTTTTGTTTTTATAAGTTTTAACGTTTAAAAAGTAGATTCCAACACACCCGAATGTAAAAGGTGAACGCGGCTAACTTTTAAAAAAAAATCTATAATTTAATTCAAGATAATTTGACAGAAATTTATATCATTGATACATTTATCAAATAGTATTTTATAGTCTTCAACTATAATAATGCATGGAACGAGGTTTTTGTCCATGTATACCTAAACGTGCATTCGCAGATACAGGGTAGAGGGCGTCCTCCCCCCTTTCGATCGCCAAATAATTTAGAAAATCTCACGTTTTCCACGTTATCTATACAAATGTTTAGTATAAAATCGTCTAATTTTTTTCGCGTTGCTCCGCTCGGCAATATAAATTCAATTACCGGGAACTACGCTGTCTTTCAAATATCTTGGATCCGGCCATAATCACAAATTGTATGGCACAAAAAAAAATTAAATGATTGTCGTTTGACTTTGATAAATACGTTTTTAAAACAACAATGTTTCAACATTAATTTAGAAATCTCTCACGAGATTTAAAAGTTTAAGACTACAAAATGAATTGGATTTTTTCCTGGATTTAGAGCTCACTTAACACGAAAATGTGATACTGGTGTGTAATCTAATGTATAATTCCACTAACAAATAATCATGTATCTTTTACTGATAAATTATCATTACATTTTATAGAAACTACATATAATCTGCTATACAGTTATGAACACTAATGGTCCTACAGACGCTCTGTGCTTTTGACATGACACAAGGTCTTGCTTTTCTAGAGTGTTTATGTACTTTTTTACTAGATTTGTAAAAAATAAAAAGAAGATGTAGTATGATTGCCAATTCGACAACTCTTCACAAAAGACCAAATGACAGAGAAATTAACAACTATTGGCCACCGTACGACCTTCAACAATGAGCAAAGCCCATACCGAATAGTCAGCTATAAGAGGCCACAAAATGACAAATGTAAAACAACTACAACTATAAAACTAACGGCCTAATTAATGTACAAAAAAATGAACGAAAGCACTGCTACAAACGATAACCACTGAATTACAGGCTCCTTACTTGGTACAGTCACATCCATACATAATGTGGTGGGGTTAAACATGTTAACGGACCCACTTACCTAATACAGTGGTGTAACAGTACGAAATAATTGATTAATATTCTAGACAGGATAATTATTCTGTATTTATTAGTTGTAGTTGTTTTTAAGATAGTGTTCAGTAGCTGTGAATACTCTAAGATCGGTACAGGGAGTTTATTTGGAATATACTAGTAATTGCTGTTTTTGAGCTTCGTTTTAGTCGGACCAGTCAATCCCTTTCTTACTGTTTTAATTGTGAGTAGATATGATCATTTGATAAACATACTTCTATGATCTCTATTAGCTTTAACTTGAACATTTATAAAAACTATGTAGAAAAGAGATGCATGCGTAAAATAAGTTCTCGACATAAATTGGCTAAAACATCAGATACGAATTTAGCCTCAAGCTATGATACTTACAAGCTATATATAATAAATACGACGAATATTTAGCCTCAAGCTATAATACTTATAATGATGATGATACTGATGATTGTCTTAGCCTCAAGCTATAATACTTATGATGATGATGATACTGATGATTGTCTTATATCCAGCAACAAATATCACATATATATTAAGGATGATGAAATGATAATGATAAATTATTATACCTTTTTGTACATGACCAACACTTACAGTCGCATTTTTATATGCTAGGTAAATTAGCGTACCCGATACAAAGACACACTTGTCTATTTTCGATTAAACCAACACCTGCTCTTACTCGTGAATGCATCATGCTTGGTGGTGAAGCCGAAAAATCCAGTCTTAAAATCATTCGATCAGGGGGTCCAACAAAACAATTGAACTCAATTGCTAATCAAGTACACCTTCCAAATTACAATCTATATAACGAATTGGTGTACACATTTATTTACATATATCATTATTAATTACAAAATTCTTTTTTTTTAATGTTGACTTTCATTTGAAAGAAAAGTGTATGTCAACTATTAAAATTTAAAGAAGTACAAGACCTGTATTAATATTTTTTTTAAATATACACATCCCATTGTCGAACGTTTTCCCTGGGAAAAAAATCGGAGATTGTAAAAAAACAAGATTGACTGCAGAAGAAGAGAACGTTAGAAATGATGCCTAATAAAGTATGATGCAATCCCAGTTATCAACTTCAACAGAGACAAATTCTGACTAACACTTTAATTTCGATATTTCTGAAATTGCTAGAAAAATCCCTGTCTAATTATAAATACCCACGGAAATTAAATATTATAAAACATTAAGAGACGAAAGGAAAAAGGGACACCAATCTGATAACGAAAAAATAAAAGCATGTCAAATATTAAATAATAAAAGGTTCATTTGCAAAGTATATCATGATTGACGACTCAAATCAATTGTATGATGGGTAAAGATACGTGTATATACGTAGTCTTATGACAGTGAAGTTTTGGCGGGAATCTCAATAATCACGTGATATATAAAAATCATGATTTCTTTCGTTATTCATCATCTTAGAAATACTTGATATTGATAAAATTAATCATGAATGTGTTTAATAGTTTAGGAATACTTAGTTAAAACTTAAGTGATGCATATTACAAAATTAATAGGTTAGCAATAACCGGTCCCGTTACGTGCGTACGTCGAGTTAGGTACGTATGTCATTTTATTGGAAATCTCTATTGTGACGTTTCAGATTTTAATGAACGTAATCTATGTATTACTGGTCAATAATTAAGTCAGGGATTTCGTTACCACAAATTACTTAAAACCTTTACTAAATTCCTCCATAGATATAAAGATTTGGTTTTGAAGTTTGGTTGTACCTGTAGAAAACTTATTTCAAACGGGATAGCACATCTTCATTTTTCAGATATGTTGTTTACCGTGCCCGGAAATTTAGAAACGATCCTGGTAAACTTATCGATCCTTTAAATAAACTTATTCTAAAAGGTTACCAATTCAACACTGTAATTAGATCTCTGAATATTGTTTTTATTTGTATTAATATTGATTTTGTTATCAGTAAATTAAAAGCAAACTAATTATTAATGGTATATACATATGCATTTTCATGGCTCTACAATCTGTGGATACCTGCATCTTGGCATTGCGAAAGGTCGTGTTTTTCTCTGACTGTTTATGACGTCTTTACACTAAATCCATTGGATGTTGGATGTGTACTGATTGATAATTTAGTCTTAGATGCATGTTTTTTTTTATTAGTTGTTATTGGTTTTGAACTAGCTGTCAGTAACTGCGAGTACTCTCAGATCTGTACTTAGTGTCTTTTTGTTGTTGGGATGTACATGTACCCGGCCACGACCACTGTTTTTGTTAGATGTATTTCTAAATGTATCCATCTGATGAATTAAGCCTTTTTCAACTGATTTTTATAGTTCGTTCTTATGTTATACTGTTACACCACTGTCCCAGGTTAGGGGGAGGGTTGGGATCCCGCTAACATGTTGAACCCCGCCACATTCTGTATGTATGTGCTTGTCCGAAGTCAGGAGCTTGTAATTCAGTGGTTGTCGTTTGTTGCTGTGTTACATATTTGTTTTTCGTTAATTTTTTTGTACATTAATTAGGCAGTTAGTTTTCTCGTTTGAATTGTTTTACATTTGACATTTCGGGGCCTTTTATAGCTGACTATGCGGTATGGGCTTTGCTCATTGTTGAAGGTCGTACGGTGACCCTATAGTTGTTAATTTCTGTGTCATTTGGTCTCTTGTGAAGAGTTGTCTCATTGGCAACCATACCACATCTTCTTTTTATATTTACATTAAATATTTGAATAAACAAAACATGGTTAAAACTGAACCAATTAAATGATCAAAAGTTTTTGTCGAATAAAAAATTCATATGTATATTTTTGTTTGTGACAGACTGAAAAGTATTATTATGTTATGAACATCACTGTTTTAAAGTACTTTTTGCTTCTTTTTTCTTGTCTTTTTTTAGGTTCGACAAAGGGCAATCAGAGCAGGTATAAACCAACTTCATTTACACTTTCCGGTATATGGTTTGAAACAAATAGAATGATTATCTTTGCATATGTTGTTAAATAATGGCCTTCACATAAAAAAGGCAGGATATGTAAGAAATGAATTAATATTCCGGTCAACCGTATTTGTCTATCTAATGAATACATTATTCTGTATCCCCTATCCTCTTGATATCGTTGAAAATATAATGGAATTGTATGCGACTGTCATACAAGTGCGAGGTTTAGCTAGCTATAAAACCAGGATTAATCCACCATTTTCTACGTAAGAAAATCCCTGTACCAAGTCAGGAATACGACAGTTGTTATCCATTCGTTTGATGTGTTCGAGCTTTTGATTTTGCCATTTGCTTAGGGACTTTCCGTTAGGAATTTTTCTCGGAGTTCGGTATTTTTGTTATTTTACTTTTTTCTTCATACCGGTCGGCATTTAAGGTCCGGTTGGGTTTCCTTAATCAGCTAGTATTACTCGGCCTGATGATTAGCCATGCGAGAAACCTACTACCTGCAGGATTGAGGTTTGCTTTTTATTGTTTATCTCATACTAATTATAGTTTTACCTTTATGAAACGTTATTGATAGTGAAATGGACCACCCTCTTCATCGACATCATCAAATCCCAAGTCATCGTCACAGAATTACATGACTTTTTAAACTTTGCTTTTTTTATCTTTTCATTTTAATCTGTAGCTCGTATAATATTCTATACACTGTTTGCTTTACATGAATGCTCGTTATTTTATTATTATTGCATATATTCATATTGTGTTATGGAGAAGACTTCATAAGTATGAGTAGCTTGTGCCTTATCCATTATGTGTTTATTTAGCAAATAAAATATGTTTAAATTTTTGAAATATTTTTATAGTCTACTGTTACATGTATTAAAAAGCACTCCCAAGAAATCGAGAAATTTGAATTAATACAATTTAACTAACATCAATAATTTATGAAGTAAGACGTGATACTCTGTCTAACCGACAATTAGTTAAACACCATGTTGTATTAAGTGCATTTTATTCGTTTCGCGTATTCAATTCGTTCTGTGTACACGATGTATTTGTTATAAAGTAAACATATTAGTCCACTGACTACTGTTCTTTTTATTTTAAAATAGGCCAGTTTGCAAGAAGGCTGATCCTGTACACGTGAAAGGAACATATTGCAATGAGCCACCTTCACCACCAGGTAAAACTTAGGTCTATAGATAATGTTATCTTAAAGATGTGTCAGTGGAATGTATTCTCAGATGTAATTAATATGAATTATAAGTTAATCAGCAATTTTATGGAATATTTTGTACTGAAATTATTTGTTGCTACGCGGTCTTATCTAAAAACATTAAATGTGCTATAGTATATCATTGTCATTAAACTCATCATTGATACTAGGATTAAAATATTGTATGCCAGACGCGCGTTTTGTCTAAACAAAATATCATCAGGGACGCTCAAATAAAAAAAAGTTAAAAAAGCCATTATTGATTACCAGGAACTATTGGTAATATATTTGATCCGTCCGTATGTCAACTCTTACCATAGAGTACCAATTCGGTCGATGCTTTGAAAAATTTGAAGTAGTACATCTAAAAAAAAGCAAGGAATTATTTTACCTTATCACCAGTTTTAAGAGTTTACGAATTATCCCTTCCATTATTTGTACAAGCAGAATCCTTGAATCTTCTAAATCTTTATAGCAAGTCTATAATTATTTTTTTTGTTTTATAGATATCAAGAACTTAAAACGAAGAAGGTGGGTAGCACGTTTTCCATTAAAATAATTGAGTGTTTATATTGCTTTTTGAATGGAAAATTTCACACACGTTATTTTCAGTATGTGACATACTTAGGTAACTGTTCACACGAGATGTAATATTCAAGGACTATCTGTAAACATTTTATTTCAACATTGATGATATAACGCAATCTTAAACACCTGAGAAGAAGGTTCCTTATCTATAGACATAACATCATTTTTCAACGATGTTGCTTTCTTAATTCCGGTTTATCCTGTCTGGTGCTTCTATATCAGTTTGTTTATTCAAAAATTCGTTTATTAGTTTTGAACAGATGTAAACTACTCTTAGTTTAATTTTTTTTTTTAATTTTATACCCGTGCACTGTTTTGTCATAATAAACAATGTTATTACTAAAAATCAATGGGTGTACATTTAGTTTATCATATTTTACAGTTCGTTTATATGATGTGGTTACGTTGCAGGTTTGCCAGAGTGGAATTACAAATTTATACCTATATTGATCAGTTTTATGGTTATATACACAATTGACACTATGAAAAGTCGACTCAAGGGTCACTTATTGACTTTAGTACAGAACTATTGTTCGTCCTACTCAAATGTACGTTTCTGCATGGTGTTTTGTTAACTGTGTAACTGTGTAACTTGGTATCTTTTTGAGTTTCTGTCTTTTGCTTGCATTTTATTTGGGTAATGGTATTTTTATGCGACATTTATCACTTCTCTTATGTTATCTTCTGCATCGTTATAAAAAGATGAAAATGTATTCATTTTTTATTTCTTTTTTCCCTTCTATTTCATGCTAAGGAATGAAGTTCCTAACCATACAGGACAGCATAGTGCGTATGCTAATCAGACAGCCTTGGCAGGTATTAAATGCTTTTATAGCGCAAACATGTTTCATTCCCATGAAAATGCCACCTATTTATATGAATTTAAAAACAAAAATGTAAACTGTTAAATCCTAGTGATATCTATTATCAATATCATTTAAAAATTATTAACATAAATACCGAACTCAAGGGTAAATTCAAAAAGCGGGCAGTCCATTGAATTTGACAAAATTAAACGCTCGACTAAATCAACCAACGGCACGAACGGAAAACAACTTTCATATTCCTGATTTGGATTTGGCATTTTCCGAACAAAACGGTGGGTTAAACCTGGTTTTATAGCTAGCTTAACCTCACACTTGTATGGCAATAGATTATAGTTCTATTATATTTACACAATTTGGTGAGGAACCAAAACAGACATAATTTGTTAACATGACAATAATTGGTATCCAGTTTAAACTATGTAAACATACATCGTAGACATACAACAAAACTGACATAAAATAATTCAAAAAAACATACAAATAAATCAGACAACAGATGCTAACACATTTTTGTCTTTTGTTTTTCATAGTGCATACAGTACATCAAAGGGGCATTGGCTACGAGATATGAAAAAAATTAAAATATGATTTTGTTTGGTTCAAAATCATTAATAAAAGTGAAATAATGAAATAATAATTCGTTTTTAGCAGCCAATTTGGTTCAATTATGTCAAAATAAGCAAAGAAACATCGCTGATGAATTATTCACTTGCAAGTGAATAATTCGACCTCATTGAATCCGTATTCATGTGACCTTCAATTATACCCATTACTTAGAGATTGGTTATGCCTGAATTAGTCGTGTTAAGCCATTAAAAAGAAAAGAATATCAACATTAAAAGTGAAACAAAGGTGAACCATTTCACAGACTGATTTGATCCACAAAAAACATTCTTATACAGATAAAAACGATAATTAACTGTTTTTTTAACCTTTAACAGGAAATCAAACAGACCTAGAAAAATCCAATTGCATGAGATTGCTATCTATTTATATTTATGTTTATGTTTATATCGGGTTATGTGACCGTCGGCAGTCTTCGGAGGTCATCTCGATAGTTAATTAGATGGCGTCTGGACTAAAATAAACACGAAATTCTGATATATATTATCGAGTACGTGCATTGTTAACTGTTTATTCCAGACTGATTGTAATTTGGATATACGTTTTAGTATTTTATAAATCAAATATGAGAATTTAAGTCAAATCGGTGAACATGAATTTGACAGCTAATGCCCCTTTAAAAGATAATGACATAAACACGTTTTTGATAAAGTACAAATTAAGTAAAACAAAAGTATCGAAAGTAATGCAATAAAGGACACTTTTCGTTTTATTTTACTTGATCATATTCAGTTGACAATGTATAATTTTTGCAACAAAATCTATATTTCACTTTGCAGATCTTCCTACTGGTCAATCAACAGTTAGGTAAATACCAAATTGTCTGTATCCTTATGTTCATCTTAATAAGAGTGTGCGAGATTTGAACTGACAACCTCAGTTAGACCACTCGACCACCAAGACCCCTAATATTTATTATCTAATATCGCTTTGGATATTAAATTAATGAATGTTTCTAGACATCTAGGCAAAAGTTATAAGACATAGCGAAGATAACTAATCAAGCATTACCGAAATCATTGGTAATTGTGTAATGCTTAATGACAAGGATAACAAACTGATATACTATAGATACGCTCATCTGTATAATGTATATAGTTTTACCCTTTTATCGATGGTGGTTTATTTTTGTTTCTGTTATTTACTTTTTTATGTTGATATCTATCATATTTTGTTGCGGACTTCCAGGTGGTCTAAATGAAAGTTTATGTGAATATATACTAAATGATGACAACAACTAAAACGTTGTTTATGTGGCATATTGTTTTTTTTTTATAGTTATTCCCGATTCAATTTAATCTATGATGGTTTTTTCTTGTTCCTGTTATTTACTTTTTTACGTCTTTAACTACCATATTTTTTGAGGACTTTCAGGTGGTCGTAATGAAAGTTAATCTAAATATATACTTAATGATGAAAACAAACGATAGCGTTGTTCCTGTGGCGTATTGTGTTTTACATTGGGTATTCCAAATTCAATATACTTATTTAACTTGAATGCTGTTCTAGATTATCTGAGATTGTATAGGGATTTTACGTTGGTAACAAACAATAAGCATTCACACTTTTTTGAGAGGAAAATTAATTCATAATGATAATTCGGAAAAAATCAACAGTTCTATCAATATTGTGTTTTACGATTACACTGTTGTGAAATATTGTTAGAAGTCCCTGTAGTGAGAGAATTCAAGCTATGGAACCATTATTGCAACTTTTTGAGAAATACCTCAGAAACAAATTGTCAGATTGCATGAAATATTAGCCCCTGTATATCAATCAGGCAACAATCAATAAGCCTTTTTTTATATTAGGGTAGAATCAATGCATCTTACTGAAATAAATGCATACGAAGATATGGCTAAAGAAACGGAAGGTAATTATCATATTTTGCTTCATTCTATATAAAAAGGGAGATGTGGTATGATTTCTATTGAGACATTATCCAAAAGAGTCAAAATGAAGTGAACAGTGTAGCTGTAGTAACTGCGAGTACTCTCAGATCTGTACTTAGTGTCTTTTTGTTGTTTGGATGTACAAGTACCCGGCCACTTCAACTTGTAATTGTAGTATTTGTATTTTTATCCATCTGATGAGTTAAGCCTCTTTCAACTGATTTTTATAGTTCGTTCTTGTGTTGTGCTGTTACACCGCTGTCCCAGGTTAGGGGGGAGGGTTGGGATCCCGCTAACATGTTTAACCCCGCCACATTCTGTATGTATGTGCTTGTCCTAAGTCAGGAGCCTGTAATTCAGTGGTTGTCGTTTGTTTATGTGTTACATATTTGTTTTTCGTTCATTTTTTGTACATAAATTAGGCCGTTAGTTTTCTCGTTTGAATTGTTTTACATTGTCATTTCGGGGCCTTTTATAGCTGACTGTGCGGTATGGGCTTTGCTCATTGTTGAAGGCCGTACGGTGACCTATAGTTGTTAATTTCTGTGTCATTTGGTTTCTTGTGGAGAGTTTTCTCATTGGCAATCATACCGGTACCACATCTTCTTTTTTATAATAAAGCAATTACAGGCAGTCGTACGGCCTCCTAAAAATGAGAAAAACCCATACCGTATAGTGTATTCTGTTTTTTCTTAATATTGTCTTACAGCTTAGAAAATATCTGCCATTTGATGTTTTTGGTAAACACAGTCAATGAAAATAAATGTATTAAGACTTACTGCATATGTCTTACACTGCTGGTTTTGATAACAAAAATTGAGGCAATAAAAACAAAGAAATCCTAAACTGAATCGCCTAAGATCAGCTTTATGCTAAGGAGTTGAACAATTAGTTTTAGGCCACAGATAGAATCTATGAATTGTAAATTTGCGTACGAAAGGTATCATTTTTATTATGTCAATGCCGAAGCGTTATGTGTTTTATGGATGAAACCCTCGGGTACTGGTAATTTTTTTTCAGCAGAGGTAACGATTTAAGCAGTTAAAAAGAATTATATGATGTACTTGATGTGCCCGCGTCAAACGGACAAAAGAGTTTTTTGTTTTTACCTTATTCCAAATGTGGAGAATTGAAATATAATGTGCACGCCAGACAAACATCTAGGTATGCTAGAAGAATGGAAACTGAAACACTTTTTTAAAGTCATTGCAATTTATGCATGTTTTCATTTGACTGTTATAGCTGGATTTCCTTGAACAATAACATCCTGTTTAAACTCATAACAAATTTACGTTTTACAGTCTGATAAACTAAAAAATATATAAATAATATAGAATGACAGCACAGTTTTCTGCCTTTTTGTAAATTGCTAATATGTTATGAATATAGATGTGCCTCAGGGTCAATATGAATTAATTGATGACTTTTTTTTTCATTTTAAGTTAAAACACAAATTAAGTAAGTACATATTAAATAGTTTTATATACATTATATTCATCTAGTGATCATCATGGTATACCAAAATAATGCATGTTTGCGCCAAAAACATTAAATTCCTCAGAAATAGATATATACACAACAGACCTTTCAATTATCTTCCATTATTGGATTTTAGAAAAGGCACTGTTAACAGTTAAAAAAACTAAAACATTATATATCCCATATATTTGAAAGGAAAACCAGTCAGTTTCAAATAAAATATTACTTCGCATGAAATTAGTTGTATTTTTAATGTTCATGGCATAACTAAAAAGGTACTATATCAGATGCCCGTTTCGATAATAAATACCTCTTCCGTATACGTATTGCTTGAGTCAAACCAAATTGAAAATCCAAAATCTAATACAAACGTGGCAGAGCTAAACAGACAAAGGGTAAGTAAAACCAAGACAACGAACCAGAGCCATGCATGACACAAATACCTGCCTTAGATTATAAGGATATCTAGCATTTGAATACAGCAAATGTCAATAAATAAACATCATAGATACGAGGATTGAAATTTTGCACGCCAGACGCGCGTTTCGTCTTAAAAAGAATCATCACTGACGCTCGAATCAAAATAGTTTTAATATGTATAAATACGAAGAAACGTTTAGAGCTATATGACTTATATAACTTAAAATTTAAAGCCGAATTCAAGAAATGTTTGCATTATTATTTTGTTTGTAGATTTTACATAAACGAATGGTTGTACATGTATGTGAATCCACAGTTTTTGCTTACAGGAAACCAACCGTAAATACAAAATCAGAGAGTAATACTCAATTGTACGAATCCATGAAGGACGACCGAACATGTGGTAAGCAAGTTTGTTATATGAAACATGTATAATATTAAAAAAAAATCATTTCGTCTGTGCAGAAATGAAAAGTACAATGTATAGTTTTGTGAAGTTTTAATATTTAGCAATCGTGAACCGTACCCGAAGGAGCATGTGAAAATAAAATATTAAGATATATTTTATGTAACAATTTTTCAGTGTGCTTGAAGTGTCGAAACATAGCAAAAAAAGGAAATAAAAATAAAAATAAAGAAAAATAACAAAGAAACAATCAAGTTACCTTTTATGATCTAAAATTAATACAAAAATATCGTCTATAAATTGGAAGGTAGATATAAACGTTTGTTTGGTATAGTTTTGCTGGTTCCTTAATACTTGGGGTAAAATATCTAAATGCTAATTCTCCAAGGAACGGAATAAGTAACGACAATCATGGTACATTTATCATAAATTTTAAGGTTTGCAACTCTTAGACAGGTTAATTTCTTGTAGTTTCGACAATAAGTTTTCCTTATCAGTAATAAACCCCCATTGCAATTCATCAAATTTTGCCTGCAGTTACTTTTGTGTATGAACAAAACTTACTATGTTGATCGAGAGATGAGCATCAAACTTTTCAAGCACTTATCGCAATATTTTGATTTTCGTTTCTTTTCAGTGACCTTTGTTTTTATATCGACAATGACTCACAGTTTAAATAAGTAAAGAACTTTAGGATGTATTCTTCTGACGTTCCAGTCTCGTTGAAATCTCGTTCTGGAATTATTTCCAAAACATGTGATACAAGTTGAAAATATCAATGAATTTTAAAAATATTATAATCAAACTTAACTCTGTGAAAAAAATTGTGTATTTACAATTTGTAGTTTTTGAGTAATAAAATTTTCAAATTTTATAACCAATCAAGTCAGTCTCATTAGCCAAAATGTTGAGAAAATGGGTGAGGGGTACAAGAAATGATTTTACCAGATACATGTACATCCCATATCATTTTTTTCTTTTCAAATTTCTTTGATACGTATTTTTTCAAAATCATTTATAACAAAGAAGTTGAAATAATGAAATAATATGCTTTTTGTTCTGAAAAAAGAGAAAAATCTCAAATTTACAAAATAGACAACATGGTAAATTTGACACGAAAAAGCAACAACATTTTATAAAACATTCTTATATTAACACCTACTTATAGTTTTTTTTAAGTTAAATTTATTCAGATTGGTCAACTTCATCCTTAGTGAAAGTATAAAAAAAGTTTAATTGGGAAACTGTGATTTTTTTCATGATAATAGCCCAAAAATGGGTAAAAATTGATGAAAAATGGGAAAATCATCAAAATTGGGTACTTTCAAATGGCTGTAGCAAAAAAAGAAGTGCCCCACCATATGATTTTTTCTTCAACAATTATTTTTTTACAGTCATATGAACCCAAAAATCAGGTTAAGAAAAAAAGTTTAATTCTAGAAATTTTTGGCTCCTCAGAGGTGTACATCCTTAATGACGTTTTATTTTATGTTAATTTTCAGATAAATCGTCGAAGTCACAAAAGGGCAAGTAAGTGCAGTAACAATCGTTTAATTCTTACCGAATCCCCTATTTTGTCTAATTCTGTTTTTAAGAACAAAACCTTTTAAAGATTTTTTTCAATACAATTATTTTCGTTCAGCTAATTTGAAAAAAATCATTGATGAAATATAACAGGAAATTAACCTGCATTTATGTTAAATACGACCAATATGCAAATAGGAAAATAGAAATTTCTTATCAAAGAAAAACAAAGATTCATAAATCTGATCAGAAATTTAGGTAAACTTAGATATATGTAGGGCTGTACATATATAAAAATTTTCTAAATTCGTCTGTATTTCTATATTATTTCACTGTTTTTTGTTTACAGGAAAACAATAACAAACAAATTATCGGACAGTAAAGGTAACCTGTACGAATCGATGAAGGACAGAGCATGTGGTGAGCAGGTTTATAGTATGACACATTTGATTGGAAACAAAACCTACTCACGTATTCCTTATTCTGATGATTTAGAAAATAATCAATAAAATAGATAGCAGGAATTGTTTAACACTATTGGATATTGAATACAGCCAACAGAAACAATTTCGTTGATAGGTACCGTCGCATGCATTAGTTATTAAGGAACATTTTTGTGAATTCATATGTGTACAAACACATTTGAGTATTTTGTGAGTTGTTGGCTTATATTGCTTCTTATTTATTCATTCCTTTGATTGATTGATTGATTGATTGATTGGTGTTAAACACCACTTTCAACACTATTGGGCTTTGTTGTGGTGGTCAGTTTGTATTGGTGGAGGAAGCCGGAGTGCCCGAAGAGAACCACCAACCTTTGGTAGGAAAACTGACAATCCTAGTCAATTAAGTTTGGAGTCGAGTGTACTTGCCCCGTGCTAATTAGAACTAACATCCTCAGTGTTGACTGGATAGTGATACAGTAGTTCGATTACTTAAACCAATCAGCCACTAAGGCCCCTCCTTCCTTTGATAAAGGTTAGTTATGAAAATTTCTTAACGCGGTTTAAACCCTCGTCAAAGATACCAAACTTAGAATTTTGTTCGTCAAACACGCATTTCGTCTTCATCATTGATGCTCGTAGCAAAATAGTTAAATATTATATCAAATATGTTCTTATGTTTTATTATTCTAATTTAAAAAAATCCAAAAACAAACAAATTGTTATAAATATTATTTCATCTTTATTTCCAGAAAATTCACCAAAGTCTGTTTCTTGGAGGTAAGTATATTCTCAACTGTTCAAGTCGTATTTAATTTAAGATATACTATGAACAAAAACAATCAAGAATTGCGTTCCTATATTACCATTACATGCGACAAATAAACAAATCAGAAATCGGACAAAATGTGTTTTTGTAGAAAGGAGAGAAAATGAAATCATAAAATAAATCAGTAATTTATGATTGTATATTTGTAAGAGGCAATTTTCAACTGTAAACGTTTTCCTTTTGACCAATTGATAGTTTGTCCTTTGAAAGATTTAGTATCGAGCGTGACAAATAAGTTTTGTTACAGGACCATACGTTTTGTAAATTAAACATAATATCGGTATTTATGAATATTTTTTTATGGATTTGAATAAGATTGTATTTTGTACACATTTTAACAACAGACAAAAGAAAGTTGCGAATTCAACAAAGAATGGTACCGAGCTTTACGAATCAATGAAGAAAACTACACAAGGTAAGAAAATCAACAATATCTTACAACAGTGAATTAAATAAGTTTTACTATAAATACAGTTTTTTTTAAATGTAGCATTAAATTAATTAAAAAGCATAAATCAATGCGAATCGACAGAAATGGTATATGTTGCAACAAATGTGTACAAAACATATAAGAACTGCTCTGAAAAAAAATCTAAAATAATGTTTTTTTTTCAAATTCACACTGGAAAATTAAGAAAAATATTACATTTTTCCCACTTAATATCTGATCAATTAATCAGTCATATTTCTATATTTGCCAATACATGACTCCTCAATGAACATAGGTCGGTAGGACATTTTTTGATAACACAGAATAGCATAGATTGAAAAACACCAACAATTTGGATCCCCCGGTCAATAGGAATAAAAAAAATAATATTTTGATATAAAATGATGTTGACACTATTATATTGTCTTATAATGAATTCCTGCGTTTCCTTTAATTTCAGAGCAAAATAAATCCCTTGAAAGTATGGATATGTATGCAAGCACTTTGAAGAAATAGGGAACAATATACGAACAACAAATATGTCACATGCAATATGTGATTTTCATTATGCCTGTCTTTTGTCATCATATCTCACAAATTATCTTGCATTCGTACCTTGATTCAGTTGTATTTATGAATTTACATTCCCGTAAAATAATCATAAGCCTATTTGAGGTCAAGGTTGTTTTCAGTTCTTGTGAACTAGTTTATATTTTTATAAACATATCGACTTAAATTTATCTTATGTATATCGTCAAGAATAATGTGACTTAAACCTAAATACTTTTACAATGTATACATGTACAAACATAATCCATATGTAGTACATGTATGTAGTCGCTAACTCAAACGTCATTTTGTCTCGGATAGTTGTCTCATTAGCAAGCATAGTTTTACCACATCTTCTTATTTTCAACAATGCAATAGATTTCAAATTATGAATGAGAAAATTGCACTCAAAACCAAAATATGTCTAGAGAACAACACACATTATTCAACAATACACAGATGCCTATAAATTATGTGACTTTGTTCAAGTATCCATATCATATAAATTCATATTTATGTATAATATTTCTGCGTTTTATTTTACTTTTATACAAGGGAGTATCTGGGCTATGGAAGCAAAGTATATTTAATAAACTAAGCATACTAACATTTTCTATGGAATATATAGACTAGTAGAGACATTAATACAAAGAAGATTATAAATTTCGAATTGCCTTGATTTATTTTTTAATTTGATTGTCCCCAGCAAGTACGTCAATAGTTCTATTAACTGGGAGTCGTTAATTATAGTCTTCGAAAATACAGAATATCACGTGTTAATTTAACAATGCATGAAGTGTGAAAAATAGTTTTCATGCAGTAATGGTTTTGATGTTTTAAGGAAAAAATAGAAGTTGTAGTTTGAAGTAAAAACGACTTAAATGTCCTTCAATGAGGGGACAGATATTTGTTATAGAATATTTCACGGAATCCATCTTATACTAGTGTAAAAAACACCACGGTTTTTACCCTTTTCTTATAAAGCATGTAAATTATTGTTTCAGATAAGGGTGAAGGTTTGGTACCATTAAAACGTTTAAACCCGCTGCAATTGTTTGCACGTGTCCTAAGTCAGGATTCTGATGTTCAGTAGTTGTCGTTTGTTGATGTGGTTCATAAGTGTTTCTCGTTTCTCGTTTTTTATATAGATTAGACCGTTGGTATTCCCGTTTGAATGGTTTTACACTAGCAATTTTTGGGGCCCTTTATAGCTTGCTGTTCGGTGTGAGCCAAGGCTCCGTGTTGAAGACCGTACTTTGACCTATAATGGTTTACTTTTATAAATTTTGACTTGGATTGAGAGTTGTCTCATTGGCACTCATACCACATCTTCTTATATCTGTGTAAACTTTATTTTCAATCGATAGTTTTTGATAAACACTGAATTCAAAATATTAAAAGAAGTTGTTAATAGATAGATTCTTACACCATTTTAACACATTTTTATGAGCTAATTGGTTCAGTGTACACATCAATATACTCGAGCGGAATATCTTTAGTCTATTAAAAACCGTTGATCGTAGTTGGTGTCTATGTTGAACGCATCTATCCCATCCAACATGAGATAAAGGATACAACAGATACAGTTACGTCTGCTTGATATCTTGACTTACATCTAGAAATTGACAATGTAGGTCGGCTGAAAACAAAAAAATATGACAAAAGAGATGATTTTAGCTTCCCAATTGTGAACTTTCCAATTCTTTGTAGCAACATTCCAGCAGTGCCTGCATACGGAGTATATATCTCCCAGTTGATACGATATTCATAAGCTTGTATAATTTATCACGATTTCCTTGATAGAGAGCTGATGCTCACCAGTAGCTATTAAACCAAGAGTTCCAAGTGGTGAAGTTCAAATCATCCCTTCGTAAGTTTTACGGACGCCATCACGAGTTGGTTGACCGTTATGGAATATCCGTTTCACAGATGATAGCGTATATGTTCATAGTGTTGTTACTACAATCCCGTCCCCCTTTTCCTGAATGTGACCTACCGAATTGGACTTGTTAACGGGTGCTACATGTAAAGCAGGATCTGCTTACCCTTTCTGAGCACCTGAGATAACCCCCAGTTTTTGGTGGGGTTCTGGTTGCTCAGTCTTTACTTTTCTTTATTGTGTTTTGTGTACTATTGTTTGTCTGTTTGTCTTTTTCGTTTTTAGCCATGGCGTTGTCAGTTTATTTTCGACTTATGAGTTTGATTGTCCCTCTGGTATCTTTCGCTTCTCTTTTTGAATGTTTTTCAAAAGTCCATACACATATTTTCCTTATCTCATAAAGAACCAAAGTATTATATATTCTAATTAAATTTTGATTTAATTTATGGGCCAATCTTGTTAATTAAATGGAAAATGACATATTTCTGTAATCATGATTGAAATTATGCTGTGGCATTCCCATTAATGAGGAAGTCGTTGGTAATTTCTCATTTTTTATAGTTTTTTCTTTTTTTTTTTGAACATGTAGCTCTTTACGTCTTTCGATAATTATACAGAATTTGGCTTTTAAATTTTTGACATTGAGCATATCAGATGAATCTAAATTGATAAAATTCATAAAGTGATATGTTTATATTTTAAATTAATTTAATTAATTGTGCCGATTTTATCCCTTTTCGAGCTGCAGATTGCATGGTAAACTCTAAAGAAATAACATAACATTGCATAACTGGAAAAAAAATCATGTTTGCATTCGCATACCTATAAATTGTTTTTCCACTCATATTATCTTTTTTGTCATTTTTCTTCGGAGACATTGTGTTATCTGTTTAATTTGACTTATGGGTTTTGATAACCCCCTTGATTTCTTCCTAGTCTTTTATAATCATGAAGCATATGTAAACTTATCTCCTCATTGGGCAAAACGATTCCTTTTAACAATCGGGGACAGATCTGTGTACTAGGTTATAGTAATATTCCTGTCTATTCTTATCTATTAATAAGTGTTGTACAGTTCTAGAACATACAGGACGTGTTGTATAATAGAAGATAGGCGAAATATATCAAAAGGACATTCAAACTCATAAGTTGAAAATAAACTGACAACGCCATGGCAAAAAAAGTAAAAGTCCAAAAGACGAACAACAATAACCAAAAACACAACATAGAAAACTACCGAATGAACAACACGAACCTCGCGAAAAACCTGGGATGATTTCTGGTGCTCTGGAAAGGAAGGGTAAGCAGATCCTGCGCCACATGTGGCACCCGTTGTGTTGCTCATGTAAGTACAAACCTGATGATAAGTCTAATTCGGTAGGTCACACTCCGGTAAAAGGATGAAGGAGATAGTGGTTACGACAATTGAAACATATCCGTCGTCATCAGTGAAACAAAAATTCCACAACGGTCAACCAACTTCTGATGGCGTCTGTAAAAATCATCACTTGGAATTCTTTGTTTAATAACTTCCTTGTGAGCATCAACCCTCTAGCAAGGAAATCATAATAGGAAACACAAGCCCTATACTATCGTATCAACTGAGAGGTATACACTCCATATGTAGGCACCGCTGGAATGTTGCTACATAGAAATGGAAAGTTTACAATTGGGGAAACTGAATTCATCACTTTTGTCGTAAAGTTTTGTTTTCAAGACTTTTCATTCAAAATTGACAAAGTACAATTCAAGTATTATGAGAATGAATTTCTTGTTTAAGCCCTTTAACCCCGACTTGTATGAAAAATAGAAGGGATATTTTGTCCTTTCGTTTGGTTGTACTTTTTGTATCCGTTACTCCTCTGTACTCTTTTTCATTCGTAACTCCTCATACCACAATTACTGAACTTACTGTATTGTCTTGAAATTTTCAGTACGTAGTTTCAATATTCAATTCTTGTTTTTTATTGTTTGATCTGAATAATGTTTCCGGTTTCTCATAGGATAAAATCTGACAAATAAGGCAAAAGGTGGGCATTTTGTATAAATATAATCTGACAAATATGCGATAGCATAACCATATCGATAAGCTTAACAAATGGTAGTATTATCAACTTTTTCTTAAGGGCATACGATACAGTAGCATAGTTGGAAAGCAGGTAACGGTTTGACCCCAAGTCTATCAGCAACAATAGAGGTCACGTGACCGTGAAAATTCAGTAAAACTACGGATGAGACAAGCCTCATTTTACTCACTAAAATATCATTGTCGTGATAAAAACTTATTGTTCCAAATAATCTTAAATATACATAGTTCTTACTCGTCAAAACTTACACATCAACTCAGAGTCCTTTATTCTTTATTTTATCTTCAAACTTGAAGTTTGTGTGAAAATTGTCAAGTCTCCTGATCGAAAAATCTAAATATTTTCGAGGAAACTAAAAATGATGGGCTGAATTTAAATTTAACAAAGCATCTCTTTAAGACAAACACTCGATAAGAATATCTAGGCAATAGCGTTTTGGATACGCAAACGTCAAGTTATTTTCAACACGAAGCGGTGGTTTTTTGCCGATTTGTGCAAGTTGTAATCTCCCCTTGATATCACCAGTCAAATATAAAAACCCAGCAAAATGAATTAAAAGGAGTTTACTTTACAAAATTCAGGGAGAAAAAAAATGGAATTCGATTTACAACTGTCATATTATAATATTAAGATGAGATACTTCCCTACTTTTCAGAGAAGGATTAGATGTAAGAACTAAATGACAAAAATGAGTACAAATTAAGAAATGTAAACCTAAATTTATTTATCTAAATTGATATAAATTACAATGTAGCTCTTGCTGATGAAATTTACTTTGTAATTTTTTATAATGGAATATGGAATCACTACTAGTAGACATTTTTTTAAAAGACTTCTAATAATGTTAAATGCATTAAAACATATTTTATACAATTTAAATAATATTTTTGAAATAAAAATAATAAATAGTACTGATCATTTAAATGTTATATTCTAAAAAGTGGGACCATGAGTCACAATTGTTTCTTCTAAGTGAAAAAACCTTTTAGGTCAATCCTATGTTTCTTAGTTGAACAGTACAGTACTGCCTAGAAAATATCCTACAGAAAAAGGATCTGTTTACCAAAAATTTTGAAAGAAAGACTTTAAAAAATAAAACTTAAAATTATAAGTGACATAATTTTGAATTTCAAAATCATTATTATTGTAAAATTCAATTATTAGATTAGCAAGCACAGCTAGTAGTCCTTGCCAAATTTCGGAGGGTATTTTATAGATTTTGAAAGTAAACGTTTTGAGAAAAAAAACGGGGCTTCTACTCTTCAGGTTGCTGTATCAGCTGGTATACATATTTTAAACAAAGTATTGGATATTTTTTATCTAATTAATGATTGGAAATTTATATCACAAATGATAGTTGGTAAACAAATCTTGTGCCTTTTACTTAATGATTGTGAAAGATAAGAATTTGTCATTTGAATAAATTCAATTTTGTAAGAAAACATCTTTAAGACTAGTCCAAATAATTATGACGTTTTGCAAGTGCAAGGCTATTTTACTTTTTTCTGTGACGCCTTCGTAGGAAGACGTCACAGAAAAAAAATTGCTAGACGTCATAA